GTCTTAACCTCTAATTCAATGAAGATAAGACTCATCGTATGTTAAAGATAAGATAGTGTTATTACATTATCAAAACAACAATTTTTTTATCACTATTGATGATTTATCTAGGATGAAATTAATATTATTTGCGTTGTATTGGAAAGTTCAATACAAAAATTTGTGAAAAAATAAAATAAAATTTGGAATTGAATTTTTTTTTTATGTTTTAAGGTATAAGAATGAAAAAATATATACATTCGCAAGCGTTTTCAAAAAATCTTGCATAATATATAATGAGAGTAAGTAATAATGATGCATGCTTGCGGGAGAGTTTATAAGTATTGAGTTTGAAAATGATACAAGGAGCATTTAAAAGTACATGGGGCTTTTTTTATAAAGTATGATGCTGGCACACATGAGAAATGATGACGGAAACTATTATTAAAATTTTACTTTCCAATGAAAGCTATGAACAATTAACATGTAATATCACCGTTTTGAAGCAAGTTGACAAATACAAAGATTAGAGTTTACGTTGAAATAACGGGGAAGATTAAGCTGAAATGTCATGGGGTGCTAAGGAAAGTCAAAAATAAGATGTAATTCACTATGAAATGGATATGTACACAACAAAAGTTTTGTTGAAATTTGAAACTTGTTTTTGAAGCAAGATGAGTTACAAAAAATAATCTTTCATGGCTAAAACCGTTTGAACTGCCACTAGAATGAACGAAAATAAGATGTGTATAAAATTTGTTGTTGAAAAATTTTAAACTTTTTGTTTGAAGCAAGATGAGATGAAAAAAAAAAAAACTCTTTTAAAATTGAAATCATTTGAATTGTCATTAGAATAAAGGAAAGCTTAGAAGATGATTTCTTTAGTTTGATGGCTAGAGAAATATTTTCAACAACTTTAGGAAGATAATTGGACTCTGATTTATAATTCATATATAAATATTTTCACTCTTTAGTTTGTCATCAAAATAAAATTTGTTAATCAAGAGACAAATGCTGATATGTTGTTCAATCAAGTTCATGTTGCATCTCAAAATAATTTTTTTTATAGCTAGGATAAAATAAAAAGAAATTGTTGAATATTTTTAGTGTGTTTTCATTTCATGCCAGCACATCTTCACTTTATTTTTCATTGAAGATGCAAAATTCATATTGAATCAGACGTCATAAATGTAGTAAAATGCCAAGTTTGCCAAAATTCAATTAATTTTGGCAAAATTTTAATCTTAATTCTAGAATTAATTTGATTGTTATTCAATCTTTGCAATTTCAGTCGTTGGTGACAAATTGAACTAAAAACAATACTGAACTAATAATTAGTTCCATAAACAAAGATGAATGGGTAGAAGAAAAATACACATTTTGATTGAAGATTTGTTTTTTTTAGCTCTCTTGATTTGCTTGGATCGCTTCAAGATGTCTGATAACTTTATTTTATTTCATTATCCTACGCATTTGCACTACCAATTTATTCAAACCAAATTCGTAAATTTTGTCTTGGAAACACATACGTTTTTTGCCATGAAGCAATTATTGATGTATATCGTCAAAATCTCCTAAGCTAATTTCCTAATCCACTCAATAACTTAGTTTTTGAGAATCCAAATGCTTTGCAACTGTAGACTCCTTGATCCGCCAGTATTTATAACATATGGCACTTTGGCCAGATTAATCAATAAAACAAGTTGCTCAATTAATCTTGGCAAATCTGACATCAAAAAATAAAATATCAAATTTTATGAGACATGCATTAGACAGTTTCCACCTTCTTTCTGTAGACGAACTACTTTGCAATTGTGAGTCTGCATCGAATGTTATTTTCTTTACCAAATGATGTTTATGTGACATCAAACTGTTGTGTCGTGTAGCAATCTCACACAAGTCACAATCACTCTTAACCTCCGCCACACACTCCGTAAACTTTATGCAGTGTGTGCACGTTATTAAAGTTTTACGTCATAAAAAATCAGTTGGCAACAACTGATTTTTTATGACTTAGTGAGACTTAGCAAAGACAAAATGAGACTTGGGTTTGCGTAAGAATGTGTAAATGTGACTTCTAAAAATAGAATCCACATATAGAAGTCTTCATTCACAGTGAACTAAAGAGTACTAGCTTGGGGCTCTAGATATTATATGAGATCTGATAGATCTGAATCCTTTAAAAATGATTTGCAAGAACGAAAACCAGATACATACGACTTGATTTCATGCACTGTGTTCAATGTACTCCATAACATGCGCATTATGTTCTTACGCTGAGTGATGGCACTGCTCCCAGTTTCAGGGGGCGACGGAGAAATCTAGCACGGCTCTCACGTCTTGCTTTTCAAATTCCGCTTTCTGAAGCATGGTAGCGGTAGTGGACTCTGCGCATAGACCTCAGCGATGGTAGCCAGGAAAAACGACAACAGTGCTGAGTCCTGAGGACAGCATCATAAATTAGAAGCACTTTTCCTTAATTAGGTCGAGACAATGAAGTTGGTACTGCCAACTTTATTGTCTCGACCATTGGTTATGGTCTTTAACAATGTGAAGAATATTTGAACTTTCTTCCTCTGGAAATACAACCGCACTGAAACTGGTAATTGTTAGCGAATCGTGAATGGAAATGTGAATTGTTTTCATTTTCGATCAAATTGCTCTTTTAATTTCACGATGCAAGTCTGGTTTTATCGGTCTGTGAGGATGTAAAATGTGGATTGTTGCTGGTAGATTAGATCAAGTTAGGAACGATGTCTTTTCACGTGTACCTGTAGCCCGGGTTTTAACATGATTTTCTGGATCAACATATGGACATGATTGAGCTCACAATTCAGAATCTTGAACGTCGTGAATTCTCAATGATGTGATGGATAATGATCTAAAGACTTTTCCTAGAGCGGCCTGAAAACATAGTGACGTGTTGTGAATAGACAAGGGAGGGATGTTTTTTATACACAGCCAGCCCCCTTGGTCCATGCATCCTATCGTCAAGAAAAGTTGACGGTATTGTACGCTACTCGGGACTGAGTCTCTGTTAATGGTGTATTTGTTTCTCCCATCATCAGATCATTTCAGAACCCCAAGCGCAAGCCGATTCTGCCAAGACTTAGAAGAAACCATTTACATGGAAGTTGGATCACTAGTCCGCCCTCAAGACAAAAGTGGCATTCCGAACGCTCAATTTCTGGTCGAGTGCTATGCACCTCTCCCGCTGGTCATCAAATTAACATCTGCCTAGGATCTACTTTGATGATGATCTCATTTAATTAGATCCTGGGCAGATGTTTATTTTCACCACCTTCAACATTGTCTTCCGTTCACACTAACATGAGCATAAAATTAGACAGCCACAAAGACATATATAGCCAGGCAATCTGTACGAGGTCATATTATTGCGGGAGAGTTTATAAGTATTGAGTTTGAAAATAATACAAGGAGCATTTAAAAGTACATGGGGCTTTTTTTATAAAGGATGATGCTGGCACACATGAGAAATGATGACGGAAACTATTATTAAAATTTTACTTTCCAATGAAAGCTATGAACAATTAACATGTAATATCACCGTTTTGAAGCAAGTTGACAAATACAAAGATTAGAGTTTACGTTGAAATAACGGGGAAGATTAAGCTGAAATGTCATGGGGTGCTAAGGAAAGTCAAAAATAAGATGTAATTCACTATGAAATGGATATGTACACAACAAAAGTTTTGTTGAAATTTGAAACTTGTTTTTGAAGCAAGATGAGTTACAAAAAATAATCTTTCATGGTTAAAACCGTTTGAACTGCCACTAGAATGAACGAAAATAAGATGTGTATAAAATTTGTTGTTGAAAAATTTTAAACTTTTTGTTTGAAGCAAGATGAGATAAAAAAAAAACTCTTCTAAAATTGAAATCATTTGAATTGTCATTAGAATAAAGGAAAGCTTAGAAGATGATTTCTTTAGTTTGATGGCTAGAGAAATATTTTCAACAATTTTAGGAAGAAAAGTTACTCTTGCTCTTTCTAGTTCATTTACAAAGAATAATTTGCCAGTAGATTTGAAACATGATTTGAGATTTATCATCAAAACTCTGGGTCATCTTCAAATCAACATAGTGCAACTAGAGTTTGATCTATTTATCATCATAGGATCTTCCAAGTGAGCTTCACAACGTACTATACATCACATACAGACTTCCCCTTGAATTTTGCAGGATCTATAATCTCATCTTTAAAACCCTCCTAGTAAGTAGTTTGTTAGCTGGTTTATATACTAAAATTTTTACCTGAAAATGCAGTCTAGCAGTCCCCACAACAATGAAAGTATTAATCTTCTACCTACGTTTATATTCTTTAAAAGCGTTTAATTTTTGAATTATTGAGTTTTTGGATAGAACATACAATCATAAATACCTTGATGAAAATTACCTTGATTCTATATCAAATCCAGCATTTGTCAGGTTACAAAGTTTTCAAACTCATCATATATAGCAAGTACCATACCTATGATTTCCTTGAGCTTGTTTGTTTCATGTAAAAAATCAATGAAGCCTCCATAATCTTGCTCAAGCTTACATAAAGTCCAAAGATTTGATGAAATTGTAAGATCTGTTTCTGCTGGGAACAATGGTAAGCGCAGATCTTGATTACGTAACTATAAAAATCCTAGGTAGGAGACGGTGGGAACGTAAGACTTAGTGGGTCCTCAAACGAACCCATAGGTCAATCAGTACCACGTTCTTCGATCCTGGAGAGACCACAGACGCACGGGTTCGGAGTCCTTCCAATGTGTGGGCCTAGAGTCCTAGAATCTCATGCAAGGCTGTCAGGAAACTTCTTCCGTCCATGCAAATGCTTTCCCTTTGTAGACCGATTAGAGATCCCAGCTGTTGGCAAGTGCAACTGTCAAACCTACGGCCCAGTGCCTGGAAATTTCTTTTCGCTTGTCAATACTGGACGGAAGTATGACGGGTCTTTGGTCCTGACTGTGCCGAGACAAACAAGTGGTTTCCAGTGCGTCTTCGTTTGGCACCATGCTGGTTTCGGAACGAATGTTCGATTGTTGAAAAGGTTGGGGCCCACCACCAAACTGTACTTTTGTGAACTGAACTGTCGTAAGGAGTGGCGTCAGATTGAGAGCTCCCGGAGACCCGGTTCCAGCCGACCATCTAACGAAGATTTTCATCAAGATGCCTTACAATCTTTGCGACACTGCAGCGATCGTCATTTTCTAGAAGAGTGAAGAGGGTAGGCCACGCTACCGTCCGATCATATGAGCTCCTCCATCACTCAGAAGAAGAGATTAGTATCAGTGAAATGGGACTCTTTGGCAGATTTGGATCATCTCCTGCAGCCCTACTCCGGTTGTCATGCGGTACGCATTGGATTGAAACTCATTGCATTCACTGCGTTCAGGTTTTCTGTGGCAGGTCCGTAGGCGCCTACCGGAGGTATTGATAGCGAAGATGAGATTTGGTGGGTGTTTCAAGTATAGTGCAATCATGGGCTGACCTGGGACGGCTGAAACAGTGCACGCTGGGACCGTGATCAATGCGCGGGATCTCGCCTCTGTCGCCAGGAATTACCTCTGACAACTGCGAGGCGTATTGGACAGTTGACTCAAAATTGAGGAAGGTCCTCTCTTACTGTCTTGGGGCGTACAGATCATAGTTCCTTGCACTTTGTCTGGGGCTTAAGAGCCTCTTGTACGAGCCTCGGAAACCTCTCCTCCAATCACCACCGTTCTGTTTCCCTGGCTTTCTCGCGACGGCAGGCAGCCTTCATAAACGCCCTCGTGTTCTCGAAGTGACTCCAGGACATGTTTGCTTGAGAAGCTTAGGAGTGACATTTGTTAGGGTGTCTGTCAGTCACAGATCTATCGTCAGTAGTTTGTCATTGCAATATCGAACAGAAAAATCTGCAGTGCGGTTGGAAGATCTAGTGCTTAGCCAATTCCTTCGTTCCTACCAACTGTCAGGTATCTACTGTACATACATCTGTAGCGGAAGTGAGAAGCGGGAAAGTTTGTCGAACACATGAATAGAATCTGGGCAGGTTTGCTTCTCTGTGATCCATTGTCACAGAGTTGTCCAATTAGGGGAGGCATCATGCCCAAATCTAGGGATTCTAGGCAGGTAGTGCAAGTTTTCGAAGAAATAGGGCAGTGTAGATCCGAAGGAAGGGAGGGGCAAACTATTGTCTCGGATTTGGATGGGACATTATTGAGAGGTAGAAGCTCTTTTCCTTACTTCATGCTCATCGCCTTCGAAGTCGGTGGTTACCTTAGATCTGTTCTCCTACTCTTAACAGCCCCCATCATATGGATACTCTACAACTTCGTCTCGGAGGCTGCAGGCATTAAGTTAATGATTTTTGTCTCGTTTGCTGGCTTGAAGGCGAGTAAAATTCAACTTGCCTCGAGGGCTGTTCTGCCTAGATTCTATGCCGATGATGTCCATCCGGAAACATGGAGAGTTCTAAGTTCGTTTGGAAAACGTTACATTCTGTCAGCAAATCCTCGTATAATGATCGAGGTGTTTGCCAAAGAGTACTTAGGAGCGGATGAGGTGATTGGTACAGAAATTGAAGTCAGTAAAGGTGGTAGAGCTACAGGATTTGTGAAACATCCCGGGGTGTTGGTTGGCGACCAAAAAGCCAAAGCTCTGAAACGCACCTTTGGGGATCAAGTTCCCGATGTTGGGACGGGAGATCGGGAGTCTGATTACGAATTCATCTCTATGTGCAAGGTAGAAGAGCAGTTGGAACCTTTCAGAATTGTTCCTATTTCAGCATGACTACGTATGTTCGGCGTTCAGTGAAAGTTGGACTAAGATTTTACTCCCCACTGCAGGAAGGTTACATTGTACCGGAAGGCAAAACTGATGCGGTGCCCAAGGAAAGTTTACCGAGGCCGATGATCTTCCACGATGGGAGATTTGCGCGCAGACCTACACCCTTGGTGGCGCTTGTCATTCTCGCTTACATGCCTTTTGGTTTCGTCCTTGCCGTTATTCGCATGGCGTGTGGCATCCTCCTGCCCATCTCGTGGGCAATTACCGTCATGCGCCTCCTTGGAGTGACGATCAAGGTCAAGGGAACCCCCCCTTCTCGTGCCTGCTCGAAAGATGGTAAGCTGGGAGTTCTCTTCGTCTGCTCTCATCGAACGCTGCTCGATCCTGTGATGTTGTCTTTTGCTCTCGGTCGGCGTGTTACAGCTGTGACCTATTCGATCTCTAGGCTTTGCGAGGCTATCTCGCCTATCAGAACAGTGCCTCTTTCACGGAACCGAGAGAAAGACGCCGATATGATCAAGAAGCTGCTTGCCGTCGGAGATTTGGCAGTTTGTCCGGAGGGAACCACATGCCGAGAGCCATTTCTTCTGAGGTTCAGCGCCCTATTCGCCGAGTTGACTGACGACATTGTGCCAGTTGCTATGTCTAACAAAATGACGATGTTCCACGGAACGACTGCCACCGGATGGAAAGGTATGGATCCTTTCTACTTCTTCATGGACATCAAGCCAACATATGAGGTCAACTTTCTGGAGCAATTGCCGCGTCAGCTGACATGCGCAGGTGGTAAGAGTAGTCATGAGGTTGCTAACTACATTCAAAGGCTTCTTGCTGGAACTCTTGGCTTCGAATGCACGTTGTTTACACGAAAGGACAAGTACAAGGTCTTGGCGGGCAACGACGGAAGTGTAGCACCGAAAAAGTCATTGTTCGATAAAGTGGCTGGTTGCTGAGGAATGTCATAAAACAGCCTGTACATAGCTTCCCTTATGGTAGTTGCAGATCAAACCTTTCACCAATGACCCTCCCTAGTCCTCTCATTTATTCTGTGCTCTACTCCGTGGTGTGGTGGATCGGGGTGTTCGTCCAGAAGGTTGATTCTGATTCGCGCACTTAGTATGGGCCAATTGGAGGCCCATTCTTATTATTCATCGTACAAACCCATTCGAATGTGCTGCCCCGAGTTGTAAAATATTATGCGCAATCATTCTAGTGACCCGGATAAGGTTGACTGAAGAGATGTCGACCGGGGTCGATACTTAGGAGTTAGATAGCGAAATAATGCCAGGGTAGATGTCTGCCGTATTTGTAATTGAAGCAAAAGTTTTAGGTTTTAGCTCTTTCAGTGAGTTCAAGTTTATTGATCAGGGCATATCTCCGCAACGTAGAAGCCTTCAAGTGGGTGGGTGTTGTCTACAAAAAATTCCCGAAGGAATTTCACATTTTCGACTTTATTGTGGGACTCTGAATAACTTTCGATCAATGTTCAGATTATGGACCAAGTAGAGCCTTGCTAAAGCGGTGCTATGTGCTGTTATCATCTGAATCCCTCTGTCTTTGCAATATCATGTAACTTTTCTGTAGTACTTTGCTTAGCTGTATTCAGAAGCAAAATATGGTGAAGTTCAAACTGTGAAGAAGCATAGGCTCTGAACTGTAAAGTTGAAAAGTGGACATGTTCTTCGTTACAGGTGTAAGGAACTTAGATAGAAACCAGGGAAAAGCCTGCAAATGAGTAAACACTAGCTTCTTTTTAGTAGGATTCGCTTGTATACCTGACATTTTGTTTATTCGAGTGGTATTAAATCACAGAAGCTTCTGCAAAACAGAACATGCATGCAATGCCCACGGTCTGGAAGCCCAAACTATGTTTGGATCCAAACACTCATCAACCTGCCAAGGCCCCACATATTAAATGCATCGTGAGGCGCTGAAGCTTCTGAATGATCTCGCCGAGAAACCAGAATCATTCGCCGGGCCACCTAGGGAATCACAAGAGGTCAGGTCTCAGATGATCTGAAAAATATCGGAGCTCACGACCCTGCTCTTGTTTTGGACAACTCAAACTGGATACTGAAAAGCAACGTCGAAGGTACAATGGTCTTGTTTGCTTCTTTCAATCCACCTCATCCAATCAACCTCGTTGTCGCTCACCTCAAGAACAGTGCCCCGGAGCTCCGAATGTTATTCCTCGAACACATGCTCGGTGAGAATGCGAATACTGCTCCGGCAGAGCTTCAGATTGAGTTGTGACAACTTTACTTGGCCAGAGTACTCGAGGAACGCACTGACAATGTCGCCAAAGGAAAATGGGATGAGAGAGACCACAGCGAGGCAAGGGAAAAGCTCCTAAACGTTTTACGAAATACAACTGCCTACAACCCCGACCGAATGTTACAGCGACTTCCTATAGACGGCCTGTATGAGGAAAGGGCCTACTTGCTCGGTCGCATGGGGCAACATCGAGTCGCCTTGACTCTTTATGCACACAAGCTTCACGAGGTAGATTTGGCATTGGCTTATTGTGACCGCGTTTATACCAGAAGGCAGCAAACCCACTTCCAAAGCCATACTGCCTCCTGTGGACCAAGGTGTCATGAATGGTAAATGGTAAATAGATCAAGCCCGTGGGACCCAAAGGGTCAAAAGGCTAAAAAACACAATACAAACAATCCAACTCCAAACTAGGAGAGAACCAAAAGAACCTCCTAGCTAGTGCCCACAGCACTAGAACGGTAACTAATAATATCTCTAATGTAACAACCTAAATCATAAGGCTCGAGTTGAAACAGAGAAAAGAAATTCTCGACATCAACTTTATGCGCCACTCGAATCTCTACATACCTAGAACAAGTAAATGGTAAATGGGTGAGAAATACATGCTCTTCATCTTCAATTTTTCTTCCATCACATAGCCTACAAATTCTAGACATCAACTTTATGCGCCACTCGAATCTCTACATACCTAGAACAAGTAAATGGTAAATGGGTGAGAAATACATGCTCTTCATCTTCAATTTTTCTTCCATCACATAGCCTACAAATACGTTCACTCCTATCAATATTCAACCAATAAATATCTCTACCTTACGCTACTCTGAGGTGTACCTAAAGCTCAAGGCACCTGTCAGGGAGTATGATCGCTCTTTGAGGAGCCTTGCCCATGCCAAGGCCTTCATAGGCGCCAGACCGACTCCACAGCAACAACAAAGTACTCGAGGAGTGGTCTCGAAAAACATTGCTGAGATTGAAGGAGCAGAAGAGAGCAAGTTCAGTTTCAGCAGTGCAGAGAGTGCTGCAGAGAGCAGCCGCAGTGACACAGAGGATCTCGTGGAGGGGCCGACTTCTTCAGAGGAGCTGATGCTCGATGATGCCCTTCGGCTTTTGAGTCGTAGGTCGAGGAGATGCCAGCTTGTATCTATCTCGCCCATTTTTACCCCTTAAGGTCATCGACTCGGTCTGCGCTTAGGCCCATTTGATTTCGTTACCTGAGGCTCTACGAGAGGAGTTAGTTGCTTCATTCTTTGACTATCGCCTAATTGATGATTCGATCGTTAGTAGCGATCAGCAGTTCCGCTCTGGTTGCTGGTGTTGAGTAATAATCCAAGCCGGACGGGAGCAGGTTCCCGTCCAGAGCTTGGAAACGCATGTTTTCAGCGAAGCTGATGAAGTCCTTACATGTAAAAGCCATTCATGATCCAAGACCCCCACCATTTACGTCGTGGGCTGGTTTAGACGACGTCGTCCCTGTAACATGAAAGTCTCATGGTTCAGTTTGATCTGTTTCCCGGTTGGTCGAAGTATCTGGGAAAGGTGTGCTCGTTTGGTTGTTGGATGCGACTCGGTCTGAGTGCAGAGTGTCATGAAAGTTGTCTAGGAATGTAGCGTTTTGAGTTCATCAAAATTTGGCCTTCGAGTATTGTATATCCTTTGGGCCCGCCTGAGACGAATATATATGACCACATCCTCGAGGAGCTCGGTATGACCGAGCTAATGATTGCGAGGCTGAACCGAGGAGAAGCTAAACTTTTGTTGGACCATCAGTGGGTATCTGACACTGCCAATTCCAGTACCACCTCACAGATAAGCTAATCAGCTATTGGAACCTTCCAGGGCCTTACCGGTGAATTCTGCCTAATTATCTATTGGCAAGACATTCATATTAAGGCCCATATAATTCTCCACGACCTCGATGCGGAGAAGGCAGAAAGGACAGTCTGTGACAGAGCATAACGGTGGAGCTCATCACTTGTGACCTAGTAAAAGCTCGATCCGCAAATCTGTATCCGATGATGATGATTGACGATGGACTTGGTGCACGAGAGTTGGGCTTATTTATCGCCCCCTTCGGCTGCTCGTGTGCCCAAATTACTGTCACTCCGACATCACGAGGCCCAAACTCGTCGATTTCAGAGAGCTTGAACGCTCTGTACGATGATTGAATCGATGACGGTATCTTGAGTCCCTGCTTATAATCATTATATTGGCCTGACTTCCGACCAATGATAGACAGTGTACATAAACATCAGCTCTCAAGCGAAAGGTTGGCGACGCTTCAGATTTATCGGGCTCGTACCGCTGCAAGATTTTTGTTCGTGTGACTGAAAATCGCGATGCAGGTTCACGGCGGAGAATCAGGTAGGGACTCCATCGAATCCGTAGGTCATGGACTTCGGGGCTCTCGTATTCGGTTCCTGGACGAGAGTAACTTGAGAATCGACGGTGAAACGATAACAATACAGAAGACCAATTGCCAGGGAAAAGGTCGCAATGTCGCGGGCGTGAGCGATTTGGTCGGCTCGTCAGATCCTCAGAAGACAAGAGCGGCAGCGACATTTCCAATCTAATCGGACCACAAAGTTTAAGAAAGAACAAGGCGCTTTCAGAAGAAGCTCTACTGCTACCTCGGAAACAGTTGCACTAGATCCGAATTCGAAAATGATGATGGTGAGAATCTTAACAATCTTCAGAAGGCATACTTAGAAACAAATTTCGAGCATCACAATCATCACACAGGTATGTAATTGTTGTGCTAATGGGAAGAGACGCGAACGCTCGGCATCGATCCTTACCCGTGTGTTCGAGTACTGCGCTGGAACTTGGAAGTGCACGATGGTAATGCCTCTGTCTCGTGAGATGAATGAACTTTGAGTCTCTCTCAGAAAAACTAGAGACACGACATTTGTACTCGTCAAGTAGTGTCGAGTTTCATCGTTGGGCAAACGGGCAATTTGGAACTGGGATGAAAACTCTGAATAATAGAGGGAGGAGGTGGAGGAAGTGGCTCGGGAGTAGCAAACAATACATCGAGTGCTCAATTCCTTCAGAAAAAATCTTTGGTTAGCCCTCGACTCGGAGAAAGCAATGACCAGTCAGTACAGATCGCTATCTGCCCACTAATCATCACCGATCGACACTCAATCACTGAGCGAAATCGGGAAACACTCGCCGGCATTCTGATTCCAACAATGCAGGACCCTTAAGTCGCAACTGACGATTATCTTCTTCGATAAACTCCAAGTTCGTCCAGACCGTCCTTCCATCCTCCAAGCAGAAAAGTTCACATCGGTGAAGTCTCGACGCTACTACTGCTGACACCTCTTTCGGTAGTCGGAAGATTTGGACAGTAGGAAGAGAAGAACCATCCAGTCCTTAGCAACGGCTTGGCAATTCGAGGTTCAATATAATGCAATGAAAAGAATTTGCGCCTTCGCTCCAGATCTTCCAAAATGGTAAACCCCAATTGCCCGAAAGGGGAACATCACCCTAACAGAAATCGATCCGCAGCTACAGCAAGCACCAAAACCCTCAGAAACCACTGAAACCTTCAAAAGCGAATGTCCTCGAGGCAGACATTTCCGCTGTACGAACCAATTCACCTGAGTCAAAAACGAAATATCCTCTCGAACATTTTGTAAATTTATGATCTGGCTGACATGTACGCGAAGTGAAAGTACAGACCGGCGATGATTTTGCGGTTCAAAGTCAGAGATGAATTCTGCGCTACGAACTTCTGATCGTGTGAACACATTTCACGAGACAGTAGAGTGTCCTACTAACTGCTGACAAGCAAAGTCTTTCTGTGCTGTAAAGATGTCGTTGTTGAGGCTGTAGTTAAAGCTGGACGTATCAGACATGTATTACGATGAGATAATTTGAGGTCAGGAGTTTCGGGGAGAGTATATCTGAGAATCAGACCATAGTGTGCTCCTTGTAGCATTAGGATCTCATATGCAGGCCATGTGCCTCACGTATGCTGCCGGACCTGATTCTTGCTGTTGATGTCATAATTGGTGAACTCTAGGATATTGATGAGGACAGCTACGCGCTGGACCCCCCGCCCTACGTTCCTGTGGAGCATATCTGGAACGACTCGGAATTCTGGAAAAGATATTCCTTCGTGGGTCGGATCGACACGGGCCCATTTGCTGGGTGCACGGCTGTCGTAAAAAAAGGCAATCCGGGGAAAAAATACGCACTGCAAATCGACTCGAAGATCGACCGCTTCGGATTCAACGCAGACTCGCGGCAATGTCTGCGGCTGTTCAGAAAATGCGTGGTTCTGAACCGAATTTTGCCCAAACACAAAAATATCAACGCGATGGACCATATGGTCTTCAGCCAGACGAGCCTGTTCATGCTGCAAGATATGTGCGAGGGCTTTCTGGAGATCACGCACTTCTATCCTCAGGCCACCGACCTCAGTGCGCGAGCCCTCTTCATCCAATTAGCCGATGCCGTGCAATTCATGCACGACTACGGAGTGGTCCACGGGAATTTGATTTCGAAAAACATTCTTTTCTACATGAAGCCTTTTACCGACCCCGTCTACTGCAAGATAACAGGCTTCGACCTGGCCGTCCACTACCACTACTTGGCCAATAAGTTTAAGAGGAACTTCCACGAAGCGGACTATTTGTACGATCACCATCTGAGCCACCATTCCCAAATGCCTTACACGAAGGCAGGAGATGTGAGAGACCTGGGTAAAATCCTGTACCAAATGCTGGTCAACAATGCCGACCCGGATAACATTCCGGCGAGTGGGCCCGATTTCAAGCCCTGGGTCCGCGACGCAGCAATGCACTTGCTCCGGATGATCGGCCCTCGAGGATTCGGCCCCCACAAAGATGAGGACCTTCTCGAAATCGACGGCGTTTTGCGGCACCCGTGGCTCAAGCTCCTTCCTCCGAACCCCGGGCTGGCCAATGTCAAGGAGCTCGAGCGGCTCATGGTGAAATACCACAGCGACTGGAGCGTCATCGAACGCATTCTCGTGAACCCGAGAATCCCATTCAAGTACATGAGAGCCGAGGTCGATCTGCGATTGTGGTACGTGAACAAGCGGACTACATGGCTTGGAAATCGGAACTTGGACCTCGTCGAAAACAGGGACCATCCCGAGAGGGTGTGCGAGATCCGGATCCTGCGCAGGGTGAGCCCTGCTGGATCCTCGTCCAGGGCGAAGCCGGTGAACGCACTCGCTTTGTACAACGAGCTCATGGTCAATCTGAAAATCCTCCCCCCTCACCCGAGCATCGTCGACTTGGAAGATGTGTTCATAAATAAAGACTTCATCATGATCCTCAGACGATGCGAGGATTACAGCACTCTCGAGGACTTCATCAAGTTCGCCACAGAGGACAGAGCGCGCAGATGCTTCAGGCAGCTAGTGCACGCAATTCGCCACATGCACAGTTACGGCGTGGTGCACATGGGCTTGCACTGCGATAATATAGTCTTCAGTGAGGACGATAGTGACCTTGATTGGCGCCGTGATTGGCGGCGTCCAAAACTCATTAATATTACTGAAGCTTTTTGGATTCCAGGACTGGCGACCAACACTATACCCAACTTCGACCCGGCATCTTTAGTCACCCCTGAACAAATCCTCATGGCTAATCAGGCCTACTGCACAGCTGAGAAAGATATCAGAGATCTGGGCAGAATTTTGTTCTCAATTTTGTATGGAAAATGGCTAGATATGGATCAGATTAGAGGAATGCCACTCACGGCTGAACAGCTCCGACCAGGACGGTTCAGCGATAATGCACTTGATCTGCTGCGATGGATCGGTCCCTATCCTTTTGGACCACAGGATTTCGTACCGCTAATGACGATAGATGAATTGTGTGCTCATCCGTGGGTGATGGAAGATTTGCCCGTGTAGGGTTTACCCTACACGGCCAAAAAATATGAATGAAGCTGTCAAAAGTGGAAATGTCGAGAAAACACGGCGTACTGCGATGGCCCGCAAGCTCACAACTATCGTTGGAACGGGTCTTCGTCTCCCAGAGGTTTCCAGAGGGCAGGGTCGTCGAAACTCTCGATGACAAAGCTTGCCCCTGCCTCCAGCAGGCTGGCACGGGGGTTGCCTGCAAGTACTCCCACGACTGCCAACTCGGCAGCAACAGCTGCTTTGATTCCCGCAGGTGAGTCCTGCAGCCATAACAAATGCATTGGATCAGCAAAGGCTTTATCTCGCTGGATCCCGGGGATAAAATCGTCCGCATATCGAACTCGGAGTATGGCTCTCTCGACGACCTCGGCCTTCATGGCCAATGCTTTACTTCTCGTTATGCAGGTAAGATTTTCCTAACCCTCAAACCACGAACTGTGATATCTTTTGAGGCCTCTGACCATTTCTCGTCACTTGAAGTTTGAATCTGACAAAGACTCGACGAGCTACACGACGTGCGTAAGAGCGGCATCGAAGTCGGAGACTACACGGGGGTCGATGGGACTAGGTGCATGTCCATCGTCATTCACTCCATCACATCCGGTATCTTTGATGGTAAGCAGATGGATGGTAATTGCGGCCCAAAGTGCCATGCCCACTCTTTACATCAGGAACCTCATGGGACTTGAGTACTTAGGCAAAATTGAGCAATATCTAGGGAAAGTTCTTCCAAATAGCAAGGTCGAATCGAGGCACTCAGATGACGACCAGTAATTTAGGAAACTCCGCAGAACGCCATATCCCCAAAGTTCGAGCTCAAATCGCGCCCAGGGATAGAGTTGTTCTAAAAGACTGATGCGGACAACAGAGAATCGTCAGAGGGCAGCGATCCCTCCGCCCGGCTCCTGTTAGTGCATGCGCCAGATCTAACACCCCAGAACCTGCTCAGAACGCTGTGAAAATGAATCTATGAGGGTTTTTTTAAACTAAGTCTAGGGAGTGTCGAAAATTGGGCTCGCAAATCATTTCGTCGTAGCTCGATAAACTGAGTATGGAGCTTCCAACTGATTGGCAGCCATCCTGTCAGATCATAGATTCATGGAGGACAAACTTTAGTATAGACCGTAGATGCCAAAACCAAATGACACGATGACAGTGATGGCTCTGCCATCACAATGTCATCTAGAATCTGGAGGTGACGCAGAAGAGTGACCAAAGTCCAACAGCCTGGGACCAGGTTAGCTCATATATATAAGCATGGCTCAAATTTCATGGTCGCCTCAAAGTGGTGGTTTGTTTATGTATGTAAAGAGCAGGCCCCAGAACGTCTCATCCATAAATTTAGTTTGAGCGGCCAGTTCCCACTCGGCGAAGAGAAAACGTCCTATATCAGGATTGAACTTGCCACTGATATAATTTACAAAGAACTCCTCAGTAATCGGTACTCCTCCATTGTATCCAATCTGCAAATGAGCTGCTTAATGAGTTGGCTCGTCCGCTGCATCAAGGTCATATAAGATGTAACATGTAAAATCGATCACTGACCTGCAAGTACCTATAAACCCACAAAAGCCATCAGAGTACAAACCTCCGGAAGCATATCACGGAAGGCCGAATGCAGCGAATTCGAATCACATAGAGTGCCGTCTACGTCGAACAGAGATCCTACCGGTGGTATAGAGCGAGGAATGACTTCTGCCGGGAAACGAGTGAATAACAGAAGAAAACTCAAGTCAAAAGCATCCTTCAATCTTAGCTCTACAGTACGGAATGCACAAAGCAGATTAAACCTAAGCATCCTCTCGCCGTAGTGTAAGGTTTTCGAGTTTATGTGAAAAGAACAAAGACTCATACTTGCAAGGTCTGAGGAGCAAACTCGAAAAGTATGAGCCTCATGACATAGTGCTCATCTGGATGTAGTGAAGCAACTCTTGTAGGAGCTCGAAAAGTCTCTCAAAAGTCGTACCTGGGATTTTAGCTGACAGGGTTTGAAAGGATGCAGTGGCAGAACAAATTGACGTGGGCACTTTGACTCGCAAAGCTTTTGAGAAGTTTCCTGAGCAACTTTGTCTCAAAATTTCCGCCTCCCCTGCAGGAAGCAAAGCCACGGAATACCGTGCCTGCAACAATCACAGTTGAATCGTTCGAAATAATTCCTTACTCTGCACTCCCTGAGCGGGACTGCAGGAGGTGCGTCTCAAACGAAACCAGTAAAATAATAAATGTCACTATCAACACTCAGAGAGTCCAAATGACCTGGGAAAAATTGGCTCTATGTAGCTCTTCAATTCTTCACAAGTCATCTTGACTTTCCTCCCCAGTAGAACTTTTTTCAAACAATGGCACAAACACATAGCAAGCTCCCCAGTAGATCGACTTCGGATAATTTAATCACGGGAAGAACTGTTCGGTCGTCGTCGTCGGAAGAATCCGTCGATTCATGACAGTGTTAAATTCCAATTAAGATCGACAGAGAGCTTTGGGGTACTGTCCATTTCCTGGATTTTGTGCAGGTTTTGAGGGCAAAGACAGCAAGTCCGAATCTTGCATGGCGTGATACAAGACATCCTTCCGTGGAGGTCTCCATGATTCCATATCATTGAACGATTTGGAGTTTAATGCGCTCAAAAGCTTGCAACGACTTTGACGATGGAACGTCCACGTTGTCGCCAGACTCAAGTTTTGATGTGGTGGTGAATTTGTGGCTCCTTAGCTGCTTGTAATTAGAAGGGAGAGTATGGATCACTTCTCCATTGCGCTATTCCACTCCTTGTGGAAATGACTAGTGAAAACCATCATCTCCGGTTTTATGATGTAATAAACTCCTTCTTCTTTCTCGTTGCAAAATATAAATGGTAAAATGGTAAAAAGATCAAGCCCGTGGGACCCAAAGGATCAAAAGGCTAAAAAACGCAATACAAAGAATCCAACACCAAACAATGAGAGAACCAAAAGAACCCCCTAGCTAGTGTCCAAAGCACTAGAACGGTAATATTAAGCATATTAACCTAAAAACTCCATGGGTATCTCGTTTCACATCATATGGTGGTTACAAAGCTCTATATTCATCGTTAAATCTATGTAGAAGAGCTCATCTAGTATTTTGGAGTGTTAGGAAATTTTTATTGAGTAGCTTAGTGTTGCCGGTGGTTTTATATGGGACACAAGTGTGGGGTCCTAGCAGTAAGAAGACAAGTTTGGAGCGTGTGGAGAGGGTGCAAAATATCTTCTTACAAGAAGAGTTAAGTGTAAGGACCCAAACTCCTTATGGTAAATGGTAAATAGATCAAGCCCATGACACCCAAAGGGTCAAAATGCTAAAAAACACAATACAAACAACCCAACTCCAAACTAGGAGAGAACCAAAAGAACCCCCTAGCTAGTGCCCAAAGCACTAGAACAGTAACTACTAATATCTCTAATGTAACAACCGAAATCATAAGGCTCGAGTTGAATCAGAGAAAAGAAATTCTTGACATCAACTTTATGCGCCACTCGAATCTCTATATATCTAGTACAAGTAATAAACACATGCTCTTCATCCTCAAATGGTAAATGGTAAATAGATCAAGCCCGTGGGACCCAAAGGGTCAAAAGGCTAAAAAACACAATACAAACAATCCAACTCCAAACTAGGAGAGAACCAAAAGAACCCCCTAGCTAGTGCCCAAAGCACTAGAACGGTAACTAATAATATCTCTAATGTAACAACCTAAATCATAAGGCTCGAGTTGAAGCAGAGAAAAGAAATTCTCGACATCAACTTTATGCGCCACTCGAATCTCTATATATCTAGTACAAGTAATAAACACAAGCTCTTCATCCTCAACATTTCTCCCATCACATAGCCTACAAATCCGTTCACTCCTATCAATATTCAACCAACGTCCTTCCTCAATTCCAAGCCTATGAATCCTGTTCTATGCCTAGCAATAATATGACGTAAAGATGTAGCAATCTCTGCAACAAGGTACCCTTGCTCACAATAAATAAGCATAGGATTCACATGAAGTTGATAAAACTGCATTTTAGTGCCTCCTCTCCTCCAAATGATGTTGAGAAACTCCTCCTTAATACGCTCGCGAAGGGCCATAGGTTGCAGATCCCAATCCAATTCCGTCACATTCCACCTCAAAGACCAAGTCATCACATCTGCAAACCATCCCTTGGAACGTGTGGCACGCAAAGCATGAAGAGGAAGTCGAGAAGCATCAAGAGATCTCACCCTTCTAATATAAGTGATGGTCAAGTAGAGAGCTTCAGCCTCAAGAGGTAGACAACCGGTTTCCGCAAGAAGAATAGCATAAGGAGTTTGGTTCCTTACACCTAACTCTTCTTGTAAGAAGATCTTTTGCACCCTCTCCACACGCTCCCAACTTGTCTTCTTACTGCCAGGACCCCACACTTGTGTCCCATATAGAACCACCGGCAACACTAAACTCCTAAATAAAAATTTCCTAAGACTCCAAGATACTAGATGAGCTCTTCTACATCGATTTAACAATGAATATAGAGCTTTGTAACCAGCTTCTACTCTCTTTTGTACACAAAGTGCCCAACTATAATTCTGAGAAAAATCAATGCCTAAATATTTGTAACTCTTCACTTGTTCCAATTCTAGTCCCTTGTAAAAGAGAGAGAACTTGGATCTAGTGCCCACAAGAATGATCTTTGATTTTTCCAGATTGACCTCCATCTGATTTTGAGTACAAAAGCTAGCCAAAGTATCAAGGTGTTTCTGTAAACTAATTGCATCACGTGCTAGTAATATGATATCATCTGCATACAAAAGAGCTTTGATCACAAAGTCTCCAAGTTTGACTCCTTCACTCTCACAATCATCCAACCACCTTTCTATATCATCTATGAATATTCCGAATAGAGTAGGAGAGAGAGGACAACCTTGAATAACTCCAATGGTGCTCGAGATCTCTTGAGGCTGAGAGGCATCAATCTTAGCTCGAACTGAAGTGTATAAAGTGGCCACAGCTCCGAGTAGATTAGCCGGTACTCCAATGTCTTGTAGTCTTTCCCATAAAAGCTTTCGAGGAACAGTATCAAAAGCTTTCTTCAAATCGATGAAGGCACAAAATAAAGCTTTCCCATTGCCCTTGGATTTCTCCCATAAAACACGTAAGGCCAAAATATGGTCAATAGTGTTGTATGTAGGACGAAAACCGGCTTGGGCCTTTGCTCTCTTCTGAAAATCCTCTGTCCATGTGCTCAACTTCGATTCTACCAACTTCCCAAACAACTTGGCAAAAACACTACCAACCATGATGGTGCGATAGTTTGTCACCACGTCCTTCCTTCCTGATTTATGAATAGGAACAATCTTCCGCATGGACCAAGTTGATGGAAAACCATGAACCATAGCATCTTCCAAAAGCTTAGTGAGAACCGGTCCAATACAATCTCCTCCCCACTTGATAAGTTCAATGGACAAGCCATCTAAATCCTCACATTTGCCATTTGCTAATTTTCGGAGAATAGTCATCACCTCTCCTTCCGAAAATAATCCAGGTGTTGCTTCGCAATATGGCATAGATGTGGCTTCTGGAAAGAAATAGAGCTTTTCGGCAAAAGCTACCAAAGACTCGGAATCAAGAGAAGGTTTTGACGGTGGTGTAGCTAATCGTCTCCAAAAGGACTTGGGATCCTTCATCAGGTCCTTTGTCAAGGATTCTTGCTTTCTTCTTAAGAAAGCTCGTTTCTTAGACTTCACCAAGTCTTTGTATATCCTTGTCAAAAGAAGCCGACTTTGAATATCCAAAGACCTATCAACAGACCTTGCCCTTGCTAGCTTGCATTCGGAGTCAAACCATCCATTGCAAGGTAGCCCCTTAGCAATCCTAGTACTATGCCTCAAAAAGAACTTCGATGCTGAAGTTTTGAGCAATTCTATGAGCTGTCAACTAGCGGTATGCGAATCTGGACTCCATATGGTGTGAGTCAAAAGATCTTGTAGATGTTCTGCATAAAGGTCTCTTTTACAAGGATCTAAGCGAAACTTGGGAGAAGCTAAAAGAGATTGGCAAGGTGAAGTAGAGATTGATTTTGACATTGAAAGTGTGAACAAAAGAGGTGCATGATCTGATTCAGGTTGAGGATCCAAAACATCAAAATTGGAGATCAGAGAGGTACTAACCAAGGAAGACAAGAGAAAATCTATTGTGCTAGCACCGGTAGGGGAAAAACAAGTATTGGACTGAGAGTTGGGAAAGCGAGAGGTTCCATTGAGAACCTTCAAGTTACAAGTGGCTCCAAATGTCAAAAAGTGCTCTGTCAAAGAGTTTGTGGAAGGATCAAAAGAGGTTCTAGACCACAAACTATCGTAAATTTCTTCAAACATAGAAGAAGCCAAGGGATCACTAAATTGAGTAAATTGAGCACAACGTATACGAGCATTGAAATGGTAAATGGTAAATGGTAAATAGATAAATCTCCAGCAAGAAAGACATCCCCTTTACTTTGGAATCTAAGAACATCTTCAATACGATTCTTACCATACGATTCTTACCTTCTTACCATTTACCATTTACCAATAAGCCGATGGAATGGTTCACTTTGGGTCCCACGGGCTTGATCTATTTACCATTTACCATTTACCACTTCGGTTGCAAAAGCGTGTTGAGTAGATACCCATGGACAATGGTGCAAAATAACAAATTGCCAAATAGCAATAAGATCCTCCAACCACCCCGAGACGTAGCCAATGATACTGTCCACCAACATCTTGAGCTTCTAGATGTATGAGAGGTAGAAGATGAGACCTGATGAAAGTAGCAATACCTCCTTGACCCCTTCCTGCATGTTGTCTTCTCTGGTTCCATGTCGATCCCACCAAGGTAAACCCTTCCAACTCAGCAATAGTATTGCTTTCATGTTCCCAAGTCTCCACAATGTTGATGACGTCAGCCATCTTCCAAATCGGAGCAGCACTCACATACTTTGTTGTTGAAAGTCCTCGGATATTCCACACCAACACCCTTATCTTCTCAGATTGCTATGTTGACGACACCTTCCTCCTCTGAGTAACGATTGCTCTCCCATCGTGTAAATAAGCAACAAAACCCGATTCTTGAGCCTCTTTTACCTTCGCAAGCTCCTTTCTCCTAACTTCCACTTGTAGAGGAGTCAGATCAGGATCCAACCATATTCTACGTCCCTTTAACATAGCCTTATTAGCCAAGGCAACATCACGTTGAGTTTGATTGACAAACTTCACTATAATACCACGAGGTTGAGCTCCCTTGTTTCCAATACGATAAGCTTGAGCCAATTCCGCATTGGAAACCTGAAGTGTTTCATCCAAAAACTTGGTGACAACACTCTTGACATCTTCATTCTCTATTTCAGGTAAACCTGAAATTCTCACATTCTTCCTACGTGCAAGCTGGTTGGACTTTTCAATCTCTTGTTCTTGACAAAAAGAGATTTGAGCAGCCTTTGTAGCTTCAGCGTAGGATTTGATCTTCAAATCTAAGCTTTCGACCACCTCATGCAATCTAGGACTATCCGCACTTGTCATCTGAGAGCATACCTTCCCTTGGATGTCATCAACAGATTTAGATACATCCCACATCACACCCACACTATCCTTGAACACCTTCTCCACGTTCTTCTGTGATCCCTTCAACTCTCGAATTTGATTATGTGCGAGAGTTAAAGCAGCCTGTTGCATCTTGAATTCATGTCGAAGTTCCTTCAATTCTTCGAAAATTGTTTGCAGAAGCTGAAAAATATCGTCTTGAGAAGCCATGTCGTATCAACCGAAACACTCTAAATTCTAGGTCGAAACACCAAAAAATATCGTAACTTCTCACTCAAGCGTCCATGCACCTTCAAACTTGATG